GTGCGCATCGACGGAACAGTTCCTGAGGAGGAGAGAAGGAGACGCCGACGCCTCTTTCTTAATGACCCTACATGCACGCTGGCCCTTATTTCTATAACTGCGTCTTCTCACGGGGTGCGTTAGGCTGAGAATGGCTGTGGTGAGGTGAAAGCGCTGGTGGCTTGCAGCACCCGACAGTGTAAAGCCGCTTCCTAGGCAGCCTGCAGTCCTCTGGCCTGCACAAGTGCTGCGTGGCCTATAGGACGTGAGGCTGTGACCTTAGGGTTTAGGGTTTATGGCTGAAGCAATTCGTGCCTGTTGGCTTTGCTGCGGGTTGCGCGGGCTCTGATGTTGCTAGTGATGATGATGCTGCTGCTCAGAGGCTATGCCGCTTTCAGAACCATCAGCGGCTGCAGCAGCAACAGAAAGGGGGATCGGTTGTGTGCGCACTGCTGCTGTGACTATTGCGTTTTCTCTTTGATGCAGTTGGACTTTTCCGGTGCCTCTGTTTGCGTCTTCTTGGAGTTGCTACCGCAGCAGCACGAGCTGTTGCAGGCAGAGTCGCGGCTGCACCGTCGAGGCCAGCGGCGGGTGGTGACAACCTATTTCCTGCTGAGTCGCTGTGGCCCGTCTGCAGCAGCACCTTCTGGTGTCTCTTCACATAAAGCTGGTTCTGCTTCCGCTTCAACATTTCGTTCTGTTTCTGGAGACCTCAGTGAGACAACAGCAGCCGAGGGGGAACAGGAGGAGACAGACAACACGTGGGCAGAGGAGGAGGAGCTTTTCCTGTGCACGTCTTCCACAAACCCCCTCAGCTGCAGCAGACGCAGCAGCCAGGGAAGAGCCGGCGATATGGACAGAGTGCAGGAAGAGGCCACCAGCCGGGAGTTTCGTAGAGAGCTGAAGAAGTGTTGCATGCAGCTCCTGCAGGAAGCCGAAGCAGTCGAAGAAGCNGGGAGTTTCGTAGAGAGCTGAAGAAGTGTTGCATGCAGCTCCTGCAGGAAGCCGAAGCAGTCGAAGAAGCCGCCTGGCACAGAATCAAGCATCAGTCCGCTCTGGTGCAGCGCACCATAGATGGACCACTCGCCACGTTATCCCAGATTGGTGAGGCCCAGCAACAGCAGCAGGAAGCACAGCAGCAGGAGCAGCTGCAGCAACAGCAGGAAGAGACCGGGCCCTCTTTATGCAACTCCAGCCAAGAACAAGAAGACGACATGTTGGAGGTCGGCGGTGGTCAGCTGCAGCATCAGCATCAGCAACATCAGCAGCAGCAGCAGGAGGTTCATACAGACGAAGTCTTCACCACTGGCCTTGATCTGTGCAGCTTTGACAGCCTGCAAGGAGCTTCACAGGATATAGACTTGCCAACGACACCTACAGAAGAGGGCGAAGGTGAAGGTCACCCCGGGGCCGCCATGCTCAGTTCTCTTCAGGGGCAGCCACAACTCACCGTGGGGCTCCCTACCAGGCTCGTAGATGACCGTTTAGCTCTGTCAATCTCCGCAGCCGTTCGGTTTCGTATCTCAAGGTACACCCAACGGCTGCATGCGTTTCGAGGTCTCGCGGCCGTCCCTTTGGGCATCTCCTTCTCTCCTGCTGAGCTGGGAACGGCTACCTTGTCACATAGTGTTGTGGGACAGCAGCAGCAGCAGCAGGATCAGCATCGAGAAGGACCGCAGCAGCACCTGCTGTTCCAGCTACGGATCAGTCAGGGTCAGTGCCCTAAAGGGGAGGCTTTGCGATGTGTTCAGGAGGCGGCTCGGCAATACTTATGCCTTTTCCGTTTGTTGTCGTCCTTTGAGCAACGACGAGTGAGGGAGACTGCCTGGACGGTGCAGAACCTTCAGGTGTACATACACCGACGCCACCGTGCACAGCAACAAAGCAGTGGGAAATCAGATTCTTTCCTAGGCTCAGACCCCCCTGAGGAGGGAAACCCAGGGAACGGGGATACGCAAGAGCAGCAGGTGACGGATGTACCCGCATCACTGATGCCACGCCACACAACGGACCCCCTTCTGCTTCTACAATCCGCAGCAGCAACGCAACAGCAGGAACAGCAACGGCTGCAGCGACTGTTTTCGTGTCCTGAAGGGGAGGAAATTGCCCCTGGGGAACAAAGTTTTGGGCCTTCTGCGCTTGACTTGAGCGGCAGCAACAACAGCGACGTGGGACAGGGCAACAGCGGTAGCAAGGAGAGGTCATCAGAGGCAGATGAGGACCTCCTTAGTGGCACTGTCTCCTCGCGGTACTTCTCAAGCCAGGCTGTATTGTCACCCCCACGTGCCCGTCCCCAAGAGGAGTCCTCACACTCAGCTGCTAGCACTAAACCGCCAGGTGGCCCTCTATCCTCTCAATCAGAGGAAAATAACTGCCCTCGTGTGGTGCTGGTCCCTGTTATTCTAAACAACCCGAAAGCATCTGGCACTTCTGGCCGGGCGAGCGCCGCGTCTAGGCATCTGCAGCCGTTTTCTTTGGAGTTGCAGAAGGTTCTATGTGTCTCTTGCATGCAACCCATATCAGCCATCAGCACAACTCGCACCTTTTTGCGGGTGGAGGAGTTCGAGGACCCCTGCGACAGCTGCAGCTACAGTTGCAGCAGCAGCTGTGGAAGCACAAACGAGAGACCGCTCGTCGGTCCTCTTATGCATCCAGCAGAGCTAANTGCAGCAGCAGCTGTGGAAGCACAAACGAGAGACCGCTCGTCGGTCCTCTTATGCATCCAGCAGAGCTAACGACAGAAAAACAGACGTTGTCTGCAGCACCAGGCAGGTTGAAGAGGAGGTCAGAGGTCATCACAACTCCGCAGAACTTTGCGAATGATCCCAAGCATCATTGGCTCATTCGATGCTGTGAACAGGACCTCACCTGTAGCGGCCGTTGCTCCGATGCCTACACTGCAAGGAGGCGGAGACAGGCGCTGAGGAGGCAGGTGCGTTTGGGCTCTTGTTCCAGAGCAGCTGCCTGTGTTGTTGCCTTTGTGTGGCAACTGCTCTAGCTACAATGCTCGTGTTGCGGGCGCTCTGCTCGCTGGGTGCTTCCTAGTTGGACAGTTTGCAGCTTGCGTGTTATCAGGTAGAACGGCATGATCGAGGTGTCTGCAGTAATTGCAGGTTGGACTGTGGGGAGCTGTTGATTGCCCTGAAAATGTTGCATGCAGCAGGCGAGCCCCAGTGGCGGCTTGAGGAAGAAGTTGTGCGCCTTGCCCCCAGCGTGAGTGTATGGATTTGATGCATTGTTCTAGGGTTTGGGTTACACCGTGGCTACGTCTTCTGCAGAATGCATGTGCTGATGCTTATAACTGAGACACCTTCGACAGGCCTATTTCATACATGCCACAGGGAGCCTTTGGAGGGGCATGGCTCAGGCATAGTGTTAAGAATTCTGTACAGAGGCTTTGGGTTTCTGCAACTGCATTTCCATGTTCTTCATTCTATTGATATCCTGTGGATTTTGTACGCAACAAGAAACACCCGCGTTCCCGTACACAATTGCTGTAGCTTCATGCGTATTTTGGCTTTCTTTGGGGTTGTGTTGCTTGTTGCTTTTAGTTTCGCGCGTGGCCATCTCTCACACGAAAACTTGCACGCCNCTTTGGGGTTGTGTTGCTTGTTGCTTTTAGTTTCGCGCGTGGCCATCTCTCACACGAAAACTTGCACGCCACCTTACGGCAAGCTGTGCCTGGGAAGCGGACCACAGACAACCCGTGAAGGAGGGCGGAGGCCTGGCGACGGTCGATGCTGTGCAAACACTCTGCAAGTGAGCAAATGTTTCCATCATTTAAGCTCTAATAAATAAATTGTTGGTATCAACCTGTTGAGGGTTAATATGAACACCCAGCTGAAGGCGCCAATCATTATTTCACTAAACGCAGCTACGTTTAGGGGAATACACGCAGGTACTCAGATTCCATGACTGTGTATGGCTTGACCATCGCACCAGAAGTTCTTTATCTCGGAGCAATGCGAAGTAAACAGTTTTTCGCGTTGCTCTGACATAAAGGACTTCACGTTCAAGAATGTTCCAAGCAATCTATCAGTTAGCTCATTCCTCTCCGCGTGTAACGTAATCACCCCCGAGGCACGCCCCTATCTGCCAGTGTTTGCATTTGGACCCTGATTGTTCACGCTTGCAGAGCTTGTCATGTGGAGAAGACTATTGAAGAAAGAAGACGACGGCGGAAGCGCCGTCTCCTCGAAACGGCCCCTGAAGGCGGCACTAAAGCCTAGGATGCACCCGTCCACCAAGGACTTGGTTCCCATCCGCACGCAGCGACCGTCTCTCTTGCTTTACTTTTTCCCCATTGTTGCTTGTTTACGCTTGCCCAAGTATGCGGGTGCTTTAAGGCATTTTTGCTATTTGTGGAGACAAACTGAAACGGGCTTGTCAGGTGGTGAGAGTTTCCTGGTTCAGGCATACGCTGGATATATGCGTATGGTTCGGCAATTCGCTGCTTAGCTTGCCTTNAGAAGAGCCAGTTTCACACCGTCGCATACAGGGCACGAAGGGCTAGGGATGCACTGGGAAGTATGTCTGCCCAATGATGAAGTAAAAAAAATCCCTAAGCGACGCTGACATAGCTCATTTTACTGTATTTTGCAAACCTTCCGAACATTAGTCGCAAGCTAGGTGCTGCAATGCGTTCATCAACTGTGAGGTCCGTCGCTCTCCAGTGCATGGAGAGAGGAGTTCGGATCATTTATCAGATGTCCCAGGGATAACATGCGGTTCCATAAGCTCTTGGAATGTATGCAAATGAACCGCTGCTTAACAGACCAGCAGGGCGTGAACACATTAACTTAGTTACTGCCAATTAGGTGAGCGGGGACACTTAGATTTTCTCGTCCGTTCACCCTTGGCATTAGAGGAGTGCATCTCTTTGTAGCAGGTCTATACTGCCAATCTCTTCAATAAGTAGATATGTTTCGCCACAGATAAAAGCTGAATCCTATCGGAAATTGCGATGCATCCCCGCGGGAACCAAGTGTTCTCACTTCCTCAGTACTTTTCGAGGCACAATGCAGCACAGCACGGCCCTACCCATCGAGCTCTGTTTTAGCGTACTACATACATTCTGTTTAGGCACTGAGTTTGTTTAATGCTGGGAGGTTATTGCCTAGATGCTACAGCAGCCCGTCGCCTGCGACGGCAGACCGTGTCGGCGCTGGCGCAGCTGGGGTGCGTTACCATTGCATCGAGCCGCAGGAACGCCGAACGTGTGAGCGCAAGTGGCGGTCAGACAACAAGATTTCATTGAGTATGCTGTTTGAATCCGACTCTTAGCCAACAAACTGGTCTTTTGATCCATCGGTCTTGATGTTCTGACTCGTTTCAGATCAACTCGAGCAGTCGGGTGTGACGCAACTTCGCCGTGGACACTGCGCATTCCAGCGAATTTCCCCTGAATCTGTTCCTTGTCCACCATTAAACAGAAAAAATGCCACTCAAAAAATTTGGGGAGAAAATTAAGAGCTCCCTTCATCACCTCTCGCCAAAGAGCAAGAAGCACGATGAGCAAGCAGACGGTGACCTCTCTCCTTGCAGCCTGCCAACCGTCGCAACATCCCAGCAACAGCAACCTGCTCAACAGCCTGCCCCTGAAGTCCAGCAAACTGGCAGTGCATGTGCAGACGGAACCAAAAAGTTATCAGACGACAAACCGGCTGTGGGAAGCGTCGAGCAGCCCAAACAGCAGGAAGTCCCCGAATCCATGCGCATTCAAACCCCCGTACCTTCACCTGCCGTAATTGAACCGGCTTCTTTGCCTCCACAGAACGCCCAGGTCAACTGCAGCCCATGTGGGTGTGAAAAGGCAACCCCCAGATGGCAAGAAAACGAGTCTATCTTCCCAACGATGCACTACCTCATCAAGACACGCAGCAGAGAGCCCATAAACCAAAGTGTTTTGCTCGTCAACCCCTCAAAAAGTGACAAGGTTAGTTGACGATTCTCCACCTATGACAACTTTAGTCAAGGTGAAATCTCACCATCATCCACCATCACCTAGCCCTAACTAGTTTGTGAGCAATCGAATGAGCAGCCTAGCCAGCGCTTCCCTTCGAAGTATAGTGAAGTACGCAGCTGTTCAAATAGCCAGCCAACTGAGAGGTGCTGAACGCCTGTGAAACTCCGTAGACCTTCAACCTCCGCCTGTACGGGGACAGCAAAGCGTCCCTCGACAAGGAAGCCGCGAGCATCCGAGGTGACTATGTGGAGCGAGTCACCGTCACAATTAACCCAGTGAGCTGCAACTTCAATTATCCTCCACTTGAATGCCAAATGTTTTCACTACAGAGGCTATCTGTACTGTAGCCAGCTGTACTAAGAGTCNTTGTCCCCCGTTCATATGCCAGGAGAAGGAAACAGAGAATGCCTACATCGACCTGGTTCAAGGCGGTAACTTGTACGACAAGATTCGAGTAGAGACTCATCTACTATAAAACTGCCTCCACTACCATCCCTGCCACCTGCACTACAAATAGCTTGTGCGCTCCTAAATACCTACGCATTTCGCCGTCCGGCGATATATCTGCTGCCCTGAGCGTACAACATTAAACACACAACTTTGAAAAATATTTGTTTTGTTCAAAAGAAAAGCATTCATTATAGATTGACTGCACAGTTCCCATTGTTGCCCGTTGGTGGACAGACCTGTTCAGTCATAGAATGGCCTTATGTAGTGTTCACCCTAGACATTACACACATTACCATGAACGCAGGCGATACATCACCGATTCGCATCCCTCCTATATCCTATGGCTCGCACAGCAGGTCTGCAACGTACTGAGTTCTTGAACTAACGAATACAAAGTTGGCAGGATTGATAATCCCCTAGGGAGTTAGAACGAAGAGCTAAGCGCGAACGCAACCCCAACAAGTTTGGCGAGGGTGGCACTCACTACCGTGCCAAGTATTTGGCCTATCTCAAATGCAAGTGTCTTCATTCTTCAGCTACACCCGGAGCCGACTCGATGCAGGCTGCCCCATCCGCACACAACACCCTCAACTCTCCTACTCCCTTCCTACGCTTGCACATCGGCTACACCTCATCAACCTGCCAGCCCAAGACCCTTAATGCGAATCGCGAACAGAGACGTAGAATAACACTCCAATATACAGTCGATAAACAGTGAACAGCCTGCTGCCGCTGCCACCGCATACGCACAACCAATCCAGAAGAACACATGGGTTNGCCCTAGCCAACTACAATCTTGCCAAATGTGATTCCCTTCAGATATCTAAAGATTAGCTCATTCTCCATTCGTTGCATGATCACGTGATCCGTCAGACACTGCACACTGCCTGCTTGCAGCCCACAAGTGTCTGTCGCTACGAACAAGCCACTACCAAAACAGATAGCAACGCAAATCCGAACTGTATGGATCACCCCCAGAACACCCCCCAGGAGCCAGCAGCTCCTCTACAGCCACCGTCATCCTGACACATATAGATAGCTCGTTAGAATCCAAAAACCGGCGAAGATGCATTCGCGTCATCCGCTATTTGACAGTTAATCCCCCGAGAGCTCGCCGCCTGCTTCGGGAAACCGCCGCAGCCGTCACCAAGTTGATGTAAGGGTGTAGTCGGTACAGTGCCGAGAAGCGTCTGCTCATAACGCGGTAGACAATGAACCGCCAGCGACTGCCGAAATCAACAAAAACGGTGCAACCCCCTCCCCGCATAAATAGGCCTCTGTGGATGGGAGGGGGGGCATGAAACAAAGGCCTCACATCTTGAATTCGCCAGGTGATAGGTATAGGGCGCAAGACTGAGCTTACAAAGCCTTGAGCAGAAGGGACAAGGGCAAGTTGCCCCGTGGATACGTCGAACAACTGCTGCTCCCGTTATGCTGCTGCTGAGCCCTGTTCTGCCTATCATGGAGTACATAATCTTGGGCGGAAAACTGCCCAAATAGCAGCCTGCCGCTGCTTCGCCTACGACTCTCGCAGACCTCTGAAACGCGTATCCTCCGCTTGCTCCCAACCCCGGACTACGGTCCCATTGCTCTTCTCGTGGGGCTCGTGTCACTATCGCCTCCAGTCAGGCGACACAACTCGGCTGCAAACACCCGGAGGTGTCGTTGGAAGGCCACTGTTGACTCCAGCTAGCCCAAGGAAAAAATACCCGACAGCGACAAGACAGCACCGCCGTCTGAGCAGAGCTGGCGCCTGCATGAAGAGTCGCTCAGCTTTGAAAACACAGGGTCCACTGGGAGCGTGTACGGGCACCGTGGTGAGATGAGGAATTCCAGAGGCTTCAGTGACGGTACAATTGAGTTCGTTAGTAGGCGTTTGAGCTGTGGATGTGACCCTAGTAGAACCCGTCAGGCCACGACACAAGGGCCCTGCCTATTTATTTCTGCAGCAGCGTCATATCCTGCAAGCCAAAGCGGCAAGGTCAGGAGAGCCATACAGGGGAAGCAGTTTCGCATCTCAGTCCCATCCAGTACAGATGGGGCGGCGGCGTGTGCGTTCGGCAGGCGAAGAAGACAAAATGATACGAGGAGAGGGGAAGGAAAAAGGAAAGAGAGCTTGAGATAATCAGAAACACCGGAAGACCTGCTGCCATCCCAGACAGCGCAAGACGAGCATTTCCTATCACCTTGCCGGCAGCAGTACGACGGGACGCGCAGGGGTTAAGGGTGGAGGAGATGGGAGAGCCATCCGAGGAGGGGAGAGAGGGGAGGCGCCCATGGGCGCGGCTTGGTCTCCCTGAGCCCAGTCATCTAACATACAGTGTGTTGAGCTTCAGGGACTAAACACCGAGCGCAAATACATCCGCCGCAGTAAATAAATCCTAGACCCTTTTGACTGACTGCACCCAATTGCATCATATCAGAGACGAAAACTTGCACGGCAACTGCTCCCCTAAGGGAGCACTCGCCCCTCAGCCCACCTACATACACCTACACAACGAGGAAGCAAATCATGGGCAGAGGCGAACAACACCGAGCAGCCCAGTCGTCTGGCAATCACAGCGCTGTGGAGTTTGTGTTCAGAGGCGTCATTACGCCGCGCCGCAACTCGACACAACAGAAGACAGGGAAAGAAAAAGTATGAGCGATCCGCGGCGAGGAGAGTGGTACAACCAACACGCTTCTCCCGTCTGCCTTGCTGGCTTCGATGCAGATATTAACCAACCGTCTTTCAGAACAGGAGAGGAAACGCAGAACCCGAAGCAAGAATAGATTCACCACTGAATCGTGACGGCAACACCCCAGCCCAAGACGCACGAAGCGGTAGAGAGATAGATCATGGGACCTCAGCAGTCAACACGTCTCTCAAGCCATTCATAGGGCTGGCTAGCTGCAGCTCTTCGTCGCTCGCTGCTGTTGTCATCTTGTCCTCCGTCTCCATCCCAAACCCGCCGCACATAGACAGACTGTCTCTGCTGTTGCAGCGAGATGTGGGCGCGAAACTATTGCTGGGAGACATAGCAGCCTCCTTCATCATGAAATCCCCCTCTTGAAGCAGCAACAGCTGCTGCTGCTGTCGCAAAAGCAGCAGCTGCTGCTGCTGCTGCTGCTCCAGCAGAAGTTGCTGCTGCTGGTGGTATTCCCGCAGCAGCAGCAGCTGCTGCGCACGTATCAACTGGCGATGATGCTGCTGCTGTAGTTCCATGAGCCGTTCTTGACTACACAGCCGACTCTGTTGCTTTGGGGTTCCCTGATGCTGCTGAATCTGAGCCTCGACCATGAGGCGTATCTGCTGCAGGGACTGGCGCTGCTGCTGCTCGTTGGTTCCTACGTACTGCAAGCCACAGCTCTGCCACTGCTGAAGGTGAGTCCTCATTATTGCCTCCTCTTGCGGAAGCAACTCTGTTCTTTGCAAGCATTCCATGCTTCTGTCGTGCTGTTGGTGCTGGGAAGGGACCGTTGCCCCCGCAGCAACAGCCACAGCAACTGCGCCTGCAGTAGAACCGCATGACGAGCCTGTTGGCAAATGTGGCGGCCCGGTTTCAGGAGTCGTCGATACTGTAGAAGCAGTTGAAGGGGCCACTAAACCCAGAGAACAGTGCTGTTGCTGTTGCTGCTGTTGCTGTTGCTGCTGCTGCTGAACTAGCGCATGCGGCTGCCCTTGTTGCGCAGCCGGAGCAGTTATGTGGAGGGATGATCGTTGATCCGTCGGACCACAGTCTGGGCTGGACGAGTCTATACCACTGGGTACCGCATCAGGCGCACCCATATGTTGCTGTGGTTGCTGCTGCTGCTGCTGCTGTTGCTGCTGCGTCTCCGCAGGAAGTGAGCTGGAGACGGGCCGCTTGGGACAGGCGAGGAGGACTGTGCTGCGGTATACCGCATATTCCTCCTTTGAGACCGTCAAGTCGAATTTCACCAGTTTAAGGAACGCCAACTCCAAACGGTTGAGCTCGGTCAAACCCACGCCCCCCACCCTCGCGTAGTATCTGTTGCTGTACCTGCAGATACGTACATACGCCAAAGCCCCGAAGCCCTCAACGCATGCTCACCACAAGACACACGCACACCGTCTACGGCTCTACCTGCTGTTGCTGCCAATACTATTAACAGTGCTGCAGCTCATGTTGCTAAGGCTGCTGCTGCCGTGGCTGCCGCACCGCACGTCTTCTACGAATTTGACTCCTATGACACTGGCAGCCAGCACAAGCCTGTGAATGTTGAGGGCGTTGATTTTGATGTGGTTTGCGCGTATGACGCGGTCGAGGTAAATCAGGGCGAAGACAAACACCTCCTCCGAACAACGGAAGTGTCGATACAACCGCGGGATATAAGCAGCAATTGAAGTGGCGGGCGGACAGATGGACTGAAACGCACAAGTCACCACAGATGAGCAAAGACAGGCACAGTGCCACAGGAACTCATGTTACGCATTCACACACGCATCCATGTGCACACACCCACATGAAAGCATGCCAGTATCTGCACGCCTGCACCACATCAGCTCACGTCAAAACGAGTAGCCACACTCGGCCTTCGACACGATTCCTCTCCGCAAGTTGCGAGCTGCTCCATCAGCAAGGACATCTTCTCAACAAAGAGCGGCCCAGCAGGCAGCACGCCTTCCTCCCCACCACAGGTAGAATAGCCCTTTTGCTGCTGTTGCTGCTGGGACTGCTGCAGATACTCCTGCTGCTGCTTACACATGCCCTGTCTCTGCTCCTGCTGAATCTCTTGTTCTCGCACTAGAGCCTGCTGTCGAAAAACTTGTTGGTGCTGCTGCTGCAGCAGCAGCTGATGCTGCTGTTGCAGCACCTGCTGCTGTAGGAGTTCTTGTTGCATCAGCAGCTGCTCCTCCGTGCAGCTGCATTTGATCGCTCCGTCGTGGGGCGCTATAGGCACAACCGAAGCCTCCATCCTCGCCGCAAAGGTGCACAAGATGTCGTCGTCAGTTCAGACGGAGACGATCAGCAGGACTGCGGGATGCCTCGATAGCCGCATGGGAGCAGCTGCTGCACCCAAACCGAGACAGCGCGCAACCTGTGTGATCTTGGTAGCGATGTCCCACCGAACAACTGGACCTATCAACACCGACCGGTAAACACGGCCTCAAGATACAGCAGTTCCTAGGGCAGGGAGGGGAGAGTGCATGGTCACCGCGGTCCGTTGGAATCGCGAAGGCGCAGATATCGTTTGCCCACGCATTAGCTGTTCTCTTATGACCTAACAGACTCTAAACACTGTCCATCCATGCGCTGGCGATGTTCATGCAGGCCTAGCCACCTATCGGCGTACCGCCGTCCCTCTAAATGCCATGCAGCTGCACTTCTGCCGCTGTGGAGATATTTAGCCTTACACAAAGGTAATAACAACGCATTTCAATGCCACAAAGCATCCCACAAATGCTGCACAATAGGGGCAGGAAGCCAGATGCGCTCCTGGGCAACTGCTAGAGAGGTTGCTGCTCTGTTGCTCCCACAGATGGGCAGAGGGGATTAGGACCTAAAAAAGACCCGCCTATGCCTAAAGCATGGGCACAACCGAGACAGAAGCACAAAAGCAAGAACCCATTCATAAGAAGAGAGCTAAACAAGTGTCACCCGCAGACATGTGAAGGGGCAGAGGGGGAGGCGACAAAGGGCCCGCGCCAGATGCTAGAATATGAGTGGAATGGAGCCATCCAGCTTAACAAGCCCACAGGTTCCAATAGGCAGCCATTAATAGGACAAATTCAGTTAGATTAAGGCGCTATATGCCCGTGGTGGTAGCTGCTGCAGAAGGCAGCACGCCAAAGCAGCACTGTGCGCCATCGAGTGTGCGGAGGCGCTGTTCTGGGGGCAAGAACGAGGGGAGGGGAGTGGGGGATTGCACCGAAAGCAAACAAACACTAGCTCTGAAATATATCGTTCTAGTTTTATATTTGGGCCCGCACCATGGTGAATATACTCACCCTCACACCGGAAATGGCTCCCCAATCGTGGGTATCCTAAATCCTGCGTTCGACGGCAAGAGACGCGGTGCTGGTGGTGAAAAGTGTATTGCTATGTAAATGCTTTGTTACGGGGCTGGCAAGCCTTGCTAATTTTCCTATCTCTGTGCTCTCATGTGAAGGTATATTTGGCAGTGATCAAAAACCAACAATATCATCATTTCGTTTCAGCTTTGCCGCGTTGGTTGCAGTACCAGTTGAGTGCAGAGCGGAGCACGCTCTGTCTGAAGGTGTTGCATCTGCTTCTACTCGAGTAGTTGCTGGCGACTAGGGGCCAAGTAGGCGTTTAACAGTTCTCTGCAGTGTTATGGCATGCATTATCACGTCCTTGGTCGTAACGAAAGGTCGACGTCGTACTGCCCTGGGGTTCAACGGGGCAGGGTGAGAGACCCCGAAGCTCTTGGGGAGTGACGATGCGCCCTATAGTATAGATATAACAATAAGAATTTAGCCGCTAGAGAAGAGTAGGAACAGCTACCGCTATAAAATGAACGTGAATGGAGTCAATGTGCACCCGCGGCGCATTCTAGCCTAGAGCGGTATAAGGGTTTGTAACATGAGTTAGCGCAGAGTTAGCTCAGGAGCCTATCGACGGCCTTGGCATGCTGCGCGTAAGCNGCTGCAACCCCATTTCGGGCTGCCTCCTCCCCGCGCCACCCTGGCCCTGGGCTCAACGCCCAGGATGCCTTGGTACCGCGGAAGGGGGTCAGCTGCTTTTGGAAAGCTCTTACTTTAAGTCTTTGCCTTCATTGCGGCTCGTCTCTGGTCAGGTAAAGGCCAGAGAACTAGCGTTACAGGGTTGCTGTGTGGCCTGAGTGAAGGACAGGAACGAGCTGCAGTGTAGGTGAAGACCTACGGTGAGTGTTTCACCGAAGCAGCTGACCTCCTTCCCTTGTCATCAGGCCTCCTGATAGTCGAGCTCAGGCTTCGGTGTTGCGGGGAGGAGGCAGCCTGAAAAGTGGTTGCAGCGTATGTAGCATGCTCTGCCTACAGTCAGCACAGGAGCCTTCACTTGACCTTGGTAGGTTGAGTGTAAGTAAATGAAAACGTTGTGTAGGTGTACTCAGAGGTAAAAAATGCGGCAAAGGAAGCTTCGTTGAAGCTTCTGTTTTTGCACCTGAGAGGCTTTCTTGTATTACCACAGCAGCGAGGTGCGCTGCAACCCTGTTTCAGGCTGCCTCATTCAGGCTGCCTGCACCCAGATCTGAGTTCAACGGCTAGAATGCCTGAAGGCAGTGGGAGGGGGTCACCTGCTGCTGGGAAACCAAGCTTTGTTACAAGGTACAGGCGACACCCGCATCTTGAAGAGGCAATTGAGCGGCAAGCAGATTAAATTCTAGGAAAAGGCAAGCTTCAGGCGTCAACTAGCGCCTTTGTGCACAATCTCGTGTTGGCGAAGAAAAGGGACGACAGGCATCGCAAGCGCGTCAACTTCAGTATCTGACTTCGGCGAGGCATTTTGCAGATCCCAATCCACCCGGGAGACAGGCGCAAGAGGGCGTTCCACAGCTGCACACGCAAGCTGGAGTATATATGTATGCCCTTTGGCCTCGTGAATGCACCTGATGAACTGCAGTAGCAGGTGAATCACGATTTCTTGGGGCCAGTCACTGAGGCGTGGATGGGAATATACATGGTGGAGGGATCGATACCCTCGTTGTCCACCAAAATTGTGAGAATCTCCCCTTCAGAAACGCCAGTCTAAGAGGAGTTCGGGGCCTTAGGGATCATGTGGCCCTCGGAACCTGATCCCACTCACGTCAGTAGATGCACTAGT